TTTGTGGGAACTGTTAATGCCTCTTACTGTCTGAGCTTGTGATGACAGAGTATTTCAACAGACTAGGAGGGAAATAACATTCATAGCAATGACTGAGCCACACAGCAGATCTACACTTTCCCATACAACAGAACACTTAGTTGTAATAATAATACCCTAATTTTTAAATGTTACTTTATAGTAGGTCTCTTTCAATTGAGGATGCCTTTATGCAATATTTTACTTAAACTAGGTTTATAGGTAAGACAATAAATAGTATATCATTTGTGTAATTGGTGTGGGTCCTCTGGTTGCTTACAGACACACCTGTGTGGATGGGAGAGTAGCCAACATACAAAGTAGCTCAAAGCCCACCTTAATCTTCAGAGATCCTGTCTGAATCAACTGAGATGTTTCCTTATGGCCTGTTTTGGAGAGTTTTTTCAGTTAGGGAATTTACTCTAAAACAACACATTACCTCATTCTCTTGCCTTAGGCTCTAAGTTAAGGGTATTTTGGGATCTCATCTTTTTAAGAGAAGCTGGTCGGAGTGGAAGTGACCAAGGTTTTCCTCTGCTAAGGAGAGGAGAGAAAAGCCAAGGCTTTTGAAGCCCTCAATTGGATCAGAAGATGAATGATTTGGCCTTGATAGTCTGATTAGGGAATTCAGTTCCATTTTCTGAAGCCATCTGTGGAAGCTGTGTTGTAATGGAGCTTTTAAGTGCTGAAAATTCAAAAAACCTGAATGTGATTTAAAAAGCGGGGGAAATTACAAAATGTGCTGTGGCACTTGACAGTGAGAACAACACTTATAAACTAGCATGGAGGTTCAGTGGGTGCTGCCCAGGGGTGTTAGTCAGAGAGGTGCGATGGCAGAACCCTGTGGCAGTCGCCCTTGCACTGCCTGGATTCCCAAAAAGACCGTGGGGTGGAGGGGCTTCCCCTCGGCATGCTACATGTGCTTCAGCTCTGTCAGGCTGGGGTAAACGTGGTGAAGGTCTGATTTTGCCCTCAGTGTTGATGACAAAATGCTTTAATGTTTCAAGGATAGTTCTCTGCAGCGAGGCCTGAAGAGCTTCAAGGAAGTTACAATAACTTTAGCATTTACACTGTGCCTACGGGTAATAACTGTACTGTAATTTTCTGAAGATTCATTATCCAAAATCTTTATTCATTATAATAGCCCTTATGAAACATACAGAAATCAACATTTTCTTGTGTATTCTTATTTGCACAGTATGAGAGATTCATTGCTCTGTTTTAATTTGTTTCATGGGGTGCGTTTGAGTACATTCCATACAGTGTTGTTATTGAATTTCTGTGACTGTCATTACAGAGCCATACAACCTTTAGGAACTCATATTCTGAGCTTCCCAGTTCTGTAATCTGCTTCACATTTAAGAATTGACATAATTAGCTTCTTCAGAGTTATAATGATAGTTCCAAAAAGAGAAGACCTGAAAAGGCAAAGCAAAGTTAAGCATATCTAAGGCCAAAGAGTAGGGAAGACAGGGAAATAAAGTTCTGGTGTGGATACTGAATTATTTCTGTTCTCTTGGTCTGTATTTACGTGCAAGTACTTTGCTTTATAGAACATTGTTTCTACAATTTTATTTCCTTATCCTTTTGGAAAGCAGCAGGAACAGTTCAAGGAGTTGGAAAGTACATGGTTATCTAACTTGAACAAGTGATAAGTGGTTGCCCAGGGAGACTGTGACTGCCCTAACCCTGGAAGTGTCCAAGGCCAGGTTGGACGGGGCTTGGAGCAACCTGAGATAGTGGAAGGTGTCCCTGCCCATGGCAGGGGGTGGAACAAGATGAGCTTTAAGGTCCCTTCCAAACCAAACCTTTTTGTGATTCTATGAAACTTGCTAGATCATAAAAAGTTCGCTGGCACCAGCACTTGTGAACCTACTGTCTTCTTTCAGCATCCTGACTCCACTGAGGTGGTTATAACAGTACAAAGAGAAAAAACAAGGATCACTGGATCCTTTGCTTTCAAACTTGGTTCAGTATACTTGACATTGTTACTGATTATTATTGAAGGTATTTTGCTGGTCTGTTCTTCCCCTTCACTGCCATGACCATCACTGTCACCTCTGAACACAGCAGTGCCACCTGGGCCTGGAGTGCAGTGGTGGGACCAGCTCCAGTTTGCTTGGAGGACCCCAAATATGTACCTGTGCCTGTGAAGCTCCTGGAACATTGTAGCCTAAGATTGCCTCTTCTGTGGATGTTTCCCTGATATTCATAGCTGTGTGAGGAGGAGGTGGTGTTGGTGGGCTATTCTACTGTTAGCTGACATTTTTGGCCATACCGTGGCTTGGTCACATAGCACTGTATTGATACAGGAATTTTTTTGGAAGTTGTAAAACTTGCAGTTGTAAGGATTTGGGACTAATTGTGTCACAGTTTTCCAGGAGTCTTGAACCAGTTGTCTCCTACTGGAAATCAGTTCCCTGCTCCTTACTGGAAGTGTCTGGAGGGCAGTAAGAACATAAGCCTTGGGCTTTTCCTTGCTGGAAGAAGGAAGGAGGAGTGTGAAGGGTGGAGCCCCAGTGACCTGTGGCTGAGTGCCACAGCCCTCTGCTGCCCTTACCTCTGTGGCTCCATGTGGGACCTAAGCTGACGATGAGATCACTTCCACATGTGATTCCACAGCCTTTTCTGACTCCTTTCATCAGGGTTTTTCTCCGCCTTTTGAGTATGTAGCAAGGCCTTTGTTGTTGAAGTGTGTTTTATTATTATATGTCCAAAATGCTTTATCATTAATTTTTCATAGCACTTAAAAGTCCAGGGGCATTGCATTGCTGTGGTTGGGGGGCGTTTACTTTTCTATTTTTACATGCTAAGAGCGTGTGTGGGTTTGAAAATGATTTTGAAGAAGGTGTTTAAAGGATCACATTTATTTCAGCTTAAAATTTGTCACACTACCGGTGTAGTTTTTATTGCTAGTGCTGTATTCATGCTGACTTAGAATGACCCTGTCACACGTGAAAACAAATCAGATTGTTGCTGTTAATGAGCTTTTCAATTTACTATTCAGTGGATCAGATAAGTGGATTTAAGAGGTAATGATCCTGCTTAGCACTCAGGCTTGGCTGTCAGATCCTAGTAGTGTGGGAAATCCCCAGGGACAAAAGCGTTGACACAGTTCTTGATGGGATAATGGGAATCAAAGCTAATGGATAATAAAAGGAGTAGTAAGAGTTACAAGGATAATTGTGGATTAAAGCACTGCTCTTTGTCAACACTGACTGCTGTTTTAGTATTTTATTTGTTAAACTCTGATGTGGGGAGAGCCTGGTTTGGCAGCAGAGCACAATGCTGAGAGACGGGCTGGCTCCCGCTCCCTTCTCCCACCGGCAGGAAAGGGGGCTTAGAACAAACAGGGGTGGCTGCTGATGGCTTTGCATTCCTTGCTGTCGCTTTTCCTCTTGTCATTATATCAAACACAGAAATTCTTAAACATTGCTAAAATTGCAGCTGGTGTAGCATTTCAGCAGTGCACTATGTAGGGAGTGGATTTTTTTACATTGGAAGATTTTTCTAATATATTTTAATATATTATTGTTGCTCTGTTTAATTACTGTAAACAATAACTTCACATTTATAGTTTGAATGCAGTAATTTGCAACGTTTAAAGGATTGTATTATATATTATTTCTTTTATATTGTGATTGTCCTTTCACTGCTGATTTTGTCACCATAAATTACATTCATACAATTATAAAAGGATAGATTAGCTTACAAATTAAGTTATCTTTCATCTTGGTGGAGTTTCTGGTTTGTTTACTTGTGCCTTTAATATGCTGGAATTTAAAGTCTTTGGAACATGAAAATACGATATTTTTTGTTGTTACTAGTTGTTGTTAATGTAATTATTAACTTCCTCAGAGGTAGAACACTGGTGGATTGGTGTCTAAGCCAGGTGACAGAGTTACATCACTACAGAAGGAGCCCGGCAGGAGCGGGTGTGGGTGCGGAGGCAGCAGCGGCGCGTTCGGCGGAGCGGGGGGCTGCGGGTGTCGGGGCCGGGAGCTGGCAGTAGATGGCACCAGCCCTTCACCGCCGGAGCCGCGGCCGGGCTGGGCTGGGGCTCTGACACCGCACTGCTGCTTGGCTCGATCGCATCAGAGGGAAGAATTACATGGAGCTCGTAATACTGGGGTTAGTGTCACTAAAGGTTAGAGTGGCTGAAATGACACCCCTGAGTGGTGGCTCAGCCTGAGCACATGACAGGGTCTGAGCACAGGGTGTGCTGAGCTGGCAGGGTTTGTAAGCACTATTCTATATGTCGCCTTTCTGTTTCTGGAGTAGATTTAACCCAGTGAAATGTTTTTATCCGAACTAAATGTGAGGCTACTAAAACTACCGGGAAATTTTATGAAGATTGCACAGTGCATTTGTAACTGCATCCTGACCACAGCTGGGTCTGGCAGGCAGGGTGCTGGGAGAACCCTGCTGGAAATAGATGTCTTGAATCTGAAATGATGGGAAGAAGTACACAACTGCAAGTTATTTGGCTCCCAAAGCTTTTGTTCTCCATTCAAGAATGGAGAACAAATGTCTGAATTCAGAGTACCAAATTTACAATGTCTGAAGAGTACCGAATTTACCAGATTTTATGACAGGCGGTGCAAGAACTTGGAAGCTCAAGAACAGTGTTGAATCACATGCCACTGAGTACAGACCAACACAAGGATGTTTATTCCATCCCTTTGCAATTTTTTAATCATAAACCAGGTTTTTTGAATGGAGACTATTGTTCTGTGAACAACAAGATGAGGTTAATGTGAAAATTCACATCTCCTTTCTGGGAAGAAATGTATGCAAGGGCAAGTAAAAGCCTCAGTCCCCAGATCACGGGGCACCGTCAGGGAGTGGATAAGCCCTCTCTTACAGGTGCTCCAGTTGGGTTGGATGGACAGGCGCTGCTGCCTGTACTTTTCTCCCGCAACCGAAAATGTTGGTACTAGTAAATATCTGTAATATGTTATTGTTGAAATGTTTATTTCCAGGTCTATGCCCAAATGTCAGAAGCCTTGGGAATAATAGGTGACAACCATTTATGGAAGCATTTATGACAAAAATGTAAGTTTGTGCTTGGGTTCTATTCTGTACGTATTTTCTTTTGTCTTTAACTTTTACATAAAGTCCACATTTTATTTTGTTGTTAAGTTTGCTCTTTGCTAGAAAAATATTTTCTGTGAATTTGAACTATTTGAAGTAAGTGATGACTATTTTCAGAAGGACTCGTATCTTATTTTCTGAAGGTACTGCAGGCCTCTAAATGAATATTTCCCCCACAGTGCCTGTGTCCCTTCTCAAAATGGCATATGGGACAGTGGAGCTGAGATGTCACAGACATACTGTCTGATGAGAGCAGTCCCCATACCTCCCACCTCCCATTCCTGCACCCTCAGGTGTCCATGGAATTACCTGTAAAGCTTCATGGCAATTAGAATTGGGGAACTGACCAAGTTAAACTAATCTTTCTTTGTTTTGGGGAGGCTTCTTTGGATTTTTTTAATTCGAGATCTGGCAAAATCTGTTGTCTTAAAAATACAGATTCACAAAGGAGGCCTCATACTGAAGGAGACAAGAGGGGTTAGCATCATCTGCCTTCACATCTCCGGTATTTGGCAGAATAAGATGGTATGTTATTGTGGCAGATAAGTGTTTCAATACTCTCTCTTAAAAATATTCCTAGAAAATTACACTGGAGAACCTACCTTTTTCTTGTGTCTCTGCTGCAGCTGCCTTCCTTGGCTACCAGCAGCATTACCAGGATTTTGTCTTTTATTATGTATGGCCTTCACGAGATTTGCTACTTTCTCCTGGCACGAAAAGAGTTTCGTCTAAACTCAGTTTTGCTTTTCAAGCAAAACAAAATGATCCCTCTAAAAAACTGTGAATATACAGTAAAAAAATCTTAGAGTCCCCAGGAGACGATGAGGTCTGTGTGTGCCTGGAGAAAGAGAAACAAGTATCTTACCTCTTCATTCTACAGTGAGGAAGATACTGCATCCTGTCATTTATTTCCTGTCCTCTAAATCTCACTTACAGGACCTTTAAATACTTTAGTAGACATTTGCCATACTGGAGGAAGCTCTCTGCTGGTGTCACCAGGTTGGCCATGACCTGTTTAGATGGTATTAAACATGACTTGTCTTTGCTACTGTGGCTGCCAACCTTGAGAAATAGTAGCAATTAAAACAAGGTCATTTTCTAATATGACTTAACTTTTCTGTGGAAAACAAGGCATAATTGCTTTGCTTCCTCAAAAGCAGAAGCTGAGTGTTATATCTTGCCTTAGAATAACAAGAGCACCCATACAACCTTGACATTTATCTGGAGTATGCTTTGAAGACAGGTAAATGGAGGGCAATGGATGGAAAAATATTGATGGTTTCTGGAAGTAGCTCATGCCGTGGTGTGAGGGGGCAAGGCTGCAGTGAAACTTGAACAACTGTGGAAAAAGGAGGAAGAGGGCTATACTTTGGATAACAGAAACATCAGGGATAACAGATGCATCAGTTTGCTTCTCTTTCTACTTGTTGCTGCCATTGAGAGGAAATCTCTGTTATGTTTGCCAATTGAAGAAATAACATATAATCTAACAAGTTATATGAGCAGACCTACGCGTGTTTAGATTGGAGAAGGCTGTGTTTGCAAACTACTGTAAATTAACAAAAAATATAGGTTTTTAGTTATAAAATTTAGTGTTAATAGGTTTGAGTGTTACATGGAAGATTTTTAAAAGAAAACAAGGTACGTAAAAAGCAAAAATCAGTGCTGCTTTTAGATTACACACTGTAGTTTTATTTTCTCTTTCCTCCTGGCTTACTGTATTTTCCTAAAACCATGATTCGTTCATGACTAGATTGAAGATCATTTGATTTGACAGAATGGATGTTACAGCTTGAAATGGACACTTCAGTCAGTGGCTGAAAGAGGTGGCTGTGAATCTGCTGGAGAAACACAGTCGTGTTTGTGTCAATTAAAATAAACGAGCTTCTTCCCAGTGGTAGCATGCCAGGTGGAAAATCCGGGTGTGAAATCATAACATATTGATATGTAATCCAAACCTGACAGTCTGATGGGGCAATCCAGTGTGGCAGCATTCCTGGTGCTTTGTTACTGAGAACATTTTGAGCACATTTGTACCAGCAGCAAGTAGGATCCCTGGCTGTGAGCCTGTTCACCTGCTTCTCCTGTGCATGGAGTCACTGTAACCATGGGGATTTGAGAAAACCACTAGTCTACTGTTCTGTCTTACCTTACAGATCCAGTTTTTCTTTGAGTAGGTGAAATTTATAAGATGTTATTCCTTAACAATAGGTTAAAAGGAAGCCCTAGGGAATTCTTAGTTTGCACTTTGTTGAGTGGCTTTATTCCCATGTAGTAACTTCACAGCATTTGAGACCATCTAGTTCCTGCTTTGTTAATGCCAAGGGTTATGTAAGATAGAGGAGTTACACTTGACAGAGTATTCTTGCCTGACTAATGGCATCCAGTCTTTCAAATCCCAAAGTGTTGGAGAAAGTACCTTATGGTAGCCTGCCATTAGCACTGTGGGATGATCAAAAGACGTTGTCAGGTTATTTCCTTCCACTTTGCTATTAAAGGCTCCAATGCAGGATACATGCAGGAAGCATTTTGTACCCGGTGTGAGGAGTAAACATAGCAAATGAGTTCATGGTAGTGAAACAAGTCGTAGTCTTCCAGGACATATTAATTATTTTTTGTTTTGCTACTATTGATTTAACCTCTTCTTGTGTTGCCTTAAGAATTGGGAGCAAAAAAACTCCAAGCAAATTTAGTATAGAGATCAGATATAGAGCAGGTCTTTACTGAAGGCCTCCAGGCCACTGGAGTACGAAAGGGGTGCACACCCTGTGTCCAGGGGTTCCACAGTTTGTGTCCGATCCGAGAACTGCCCGCCCCCGGATCTGCCCCCAGGCACGCCTCCCTGGAGATTGAGTCGGAGATTCTAGGACCCCTTTCTTCCTCATCTTCTTCTTCTTCACAGCACATAGTGTGTTTGGAGCTTCTCCAAGGTTCCAGGCTTGAAGGTTGCTTTGACTATGATGGTACCTTGTTGTTCAGGCCTGGGGTACAAATGTTCTTAAACAGAATGAAGGCCTGCCTTGAAAGAGGTCTAAACAATTCTAAAGAATTTGGAGAATTCTATATGAAATGGGGAAATAGGGTTTAGTGAGTGTTTAACTACTATTCTAAAGTGTGAGAGACTATATAATTATGCTAAAAATCTACATTTACTACACAGCTACTTCTAAAATCTACAAAAAGCTAAAAATCCTAAAAATTCAAAGGGCATCACTTGTGATTACTTACTGGTTGACACAAGGAGTTTCTAATTTCTTAAAGTCTAGTGTGAGCTCAGTAATGTTTAGGCATTTTGTCACATAGTTTTAATCTGTTCTTTGAAATTCCTTAGGGGCAGCTTTGCAGTGGAGGATTATTGGTCAAACTCAGTGAATTCTTTAATTAACAGAAAACAATTTGAAATACTTGTGTCATAGCTACCAGTAGCTGCAGTAGCCACTGTTCAGTTAATGAATTAAAGACTGTGTGGAATAGATATTCTTCAACATACAGAAATATTTTGAGACTTGTCAGTGTAATAGGTGTACTTTTGACCTTCCGACTGTAGTTCCAAGTACTACTGTCACATCAGATCCTAGACCATTTATATACCTTTCCACTGGGAATTAATAGATGTGCCTTTTACGGAATTCCTGTTAAACTGTTTTTGAGGGGACATAGTTTTATGTAGTCAGAATATCCAATAGTACCTGTATTTCCATCACAGTCTTACCAGAAATTTTGCGGGATGGTTCTTTTAGCATGCAGTGTTTGCATGCTCTGGCCACCACCTTATGGGAGATGTGGTGGGAGGGGAAAGGCCAGCTGAAAGAATAGCTACCCTCAAGCTGAATTTTCTAATCTGCTTGTCATCTAAAGTGCTCTTAGCTGTGTTACAAAAACAAGGCTCATCTATTTGCACCACATAAGGAAGAGATTTTCAAAGTCTTTTCAGGGGATTTGGGGGCCCATTTTTCTTGCACTGGGAATTGGAATTTTCTTCCAATGGGAATTGGCTAGCCCAGCAGCTATGAAGCAGCTGTGAAAGCTTTGAAATTTTTTGTTTGAAATGAGTGATTTTTTTTCCATCTTTCATCACACAAAAAACAAAAACAACCACTTCACCAAACGTGGTTCTTTATGGCAGTTGTCATCTTTTCTGGCTGGTAGCAACTTACCGTTTGCAACTGCTTCTTTGGCTCAGTCCCAGATCTGTGCATCGGAGGCGCAGCAGCCTGTGCATGTGCAGGTAGTGCAGTGTTCCCAGAATTCCTTGGCTGTGTTGTGGCCTGTTGTCACCTCTCAGAGAAGGGCTTCAGGGCCTCCTGGAAAGAGGATGGATGAATTCTTTAGGCACTTAAAAATGACCTGTAAGCCACATTTGAGACCTTGGCATGCAATGATAAATGGAGAAGGTACCCACCGTCCATGTGACCAGATGGATTCCCCCTCTTTGCACACAGTGTATCCCCACTCTCCAGTGCTCCCTTTGCTGTGCTGACTGGGCTTTGCTTTTGCTTTTCTCCCCTGCATCCCTGATCCTAAATTTTTCATTTTTAAATTGCACTGCATCAGTTTTTCAGTTCTTTCTTTGAGGCTGAGCATTCCACTGCTGTGCTTCACCCACATCAGTTCCCATCCACTGCTGCCAAGGGACTGTCCTGTGCTGGGCACCAGCAGAGCTGTAAACTGTGTCACAGCAGTGACACATAGTCCTTGTGTCTGAAGAGGTGAGTCTCTGAATTGTAAACTGAGGATTAGACAGGAAATTAAGGACAGTAGAAGGGTTTCGAGGGGCAAAAAAGTCATTAATTGGATATAGGAGGCTGGAAGTGGATATCTTTGCCTTGATTCTTTACCTGGCTGAATACACTAATGACTTGGAATGTGCAAGGATTTTTGATTTTTCTGTGGATTATATGGTAACCTTTTTCCCAGAGAATTATGAATTGGAGTATACGATCATTTTATGTCTTCCACTTCTAGATGTTAGGTTCAAATACACAGCCTCTTAAAATATTACTTTTAAGTGCCTATACTGAGGGCAGAGGTGTTTGGTGTGCTGAAGGGACCGCGTCACGGTGACACAGTCTCAGAGTAAGCTGGGCAGCTGCTTTGGTGCAGCTTTTGGAAGCTTGGATTTTATTCTTTTCTTCTTACTAAAGGCAAACTAAAAGCAAATATTTGAATTCTTAATGCTGTTCCATTTAGATTTTTCAATGTCTTGTAACTTTTCAACATGGAGCAGAGTTACTGTTGCTCTTTTGGGTTTGTATGTTTGTGAGTAGTTCAGTATTTTGATACTGTTACTGTTACCAAAATTGGAAATATGCTACCATTTTTATTCCCACTTTTTTTGTACTTCAGTGCTCATCTCACATAGATGTTTTGGCAAATTTGGCATTGGTGTAGCTATTGATGAAGCTCTTGTGTTCTGTGACTCATCTGAAACTTCATGGTTGGTTCCTCTGTTTCATTTAGTTCATCTTTTAAATCACTAAACCACTTGAGCAAGAAAGAGACAGGGACACTGGTACTTGGATTTCAGTGCTGTCTTGCCATGATTTCTCCGAAGGCTGTAAATTTTTCTCCTCTTTCATTCCTTGGCTTCTCTTCCTTATATACCAGAAAACTGCTTTTTGTGTTATGAGATTCCTCTCTAGATCTTTAGAAATTTTCTCAGATACTTATGAAGTTTTGTGAATGTTTCTTAAAATACTACATTTTATGTGTCTTTCATCTTGCCTGATATTAGCAAGGCAGAAACAGAGATGGGAATTGCTAAGATTGCCTCTGTTCACTCACGAGTACTTTCTAGCTTTTATGTTATTGCTCCATCTTTCAGCATCCAAATACAACCGTGAACTGAAAGAACAGATGTACATGAAAGTACCCTGAATGCTGGATGAAGAGGCTTTCTTACACAGTTTTAATTTTCTCTTCAATCAGCCACTGTGGCTTCTTATTTTTCTTTAAATGTCTTGTAACTGACTTCTGAAGGACAAAGATTTTACTCTTTTGCAAAATAGCCTTTTTATTATTTTGATATTGATGTCAAATCTGGGTAGTTCAAATTCCTTTTTATTGCTTTGTATGGTATATACTTGTTAAGGATTTAGTGCAACTATAAACATCTCCAGAACTCCCCATAGTAGGGATAAACTGTGAATTATGGACTTGTTAGAATGGGCTATTTCTTTAAGGCAATCTGAACTTCTGTAGCTATTCATAGAGATTGTGTAAAATAAATCAATATTTGTCTGTAAATTTACATTGAAGAATTGCTTGGGTAATTGCACTGTTATTTGCCTTTTCCTGAGTAAATAATACTAAACAGTTAGATGCTTTAAACTGCATTCTTGAGTTTATAACTTCCTGAAAAAGAAACTTGGTTTATGTGTTGTATGCATTCCTTAGTCCATGAATATGTAAAATCAATAATCAATGCTGATTTTAAGGCATCTTTGCTTCAGGTTCTCTATTCCCCAGACTGAAATCCTACTGCATCCCAGTGGTACATAGCTGGTACTGATGACACCTCTTACATCATTGTCTGTCATCAATAGATCTGACAGCTTAAAGTCAGAATCACTGTACATTTTCTACAGACATGGAAACTGAGACATACAAAGCTGAGTAGACTTATCTGACTGGCAGTTTGAGGTACACCCTCACTGCCCAGGGCACAGTATGAAATGGAGCAGAGCTCAAGGAGTGTTTGGACAGCACTGTCAGGCACAGGGTGGGATTGTTGGGGTGTTCTGTGCAGGGCCAGAGGAGTTGGACTTCAATGATCCTTGTGGGTCCTTTCCAACTCAGTATGTTCTGTGATTCTGTGGTCAGGAATAGGTGCCAGGGCTTCCGAGCCAGGAAATCATGCTGCCTTTCTGTTTGAATGGGCTAGTATCCAAAGGGAGGGGGCAGAGGCTGGAGCAGGCTCTGCTCGGGGGGCCCAGCAATGGCCCAAGAGGAACGGGCAGGAACTGATGCCCGGGAAGTTGCAGCTGGACAGGAGGAAGAACTTCTTTGCTGGGCAGTGACCCAGCCCTGGAGAGAGAGCAGAGAGGGTGTGGAGTCTCCTGACTGGAGATCTTGCAGAGCTGTGTGGACACAATCCTGTGCCATGTGCTGTGGGATGGCCCTGCTGGGCAGGGAGGTGGGACCAGATGAGCCACTGTGGGCCCTTCCAACCTGAACCATTCTGGGATTCTGTAACCTCATTTGAAACAAAAATTATATTCCTTCACTGTACTGGCTTGTTTACCCCTTTCATCTGAAGGCCAGTTCCTCCTCTTACCTCCTGGTGACCAAGCAGGTGAACACACCAGGCTCCATCCCCGGCCCCTCGCGTGTCTCTGCACTGACCCACACACCCAGCAGCAGCTGTGCAGGGTCCTGGCTCTGTACTCACATCTCACCCTTAACCTGGGGAAGGCTGTAGAGGAAGTGTTGGCTGCATGGTTCCACTAAAGGCTGACTGAGTTTGCTGTCAGAAATGGTAAGTGGTTTGATATGGTGTTCCCCAAGAATTGATAACAGGACTAGTGTTATCCTATAGCATAACTTATGCATTGGTTGTTAATCAGAGTATGCTTCTGTGTCTGAGAGGGGTTGAAGTTAGGGAAATGCAGTATCCCCTATACATCTTGAGTTTAGTTAAGTGTTTGGTGTAGGGAAGAGGAGAATTATGGAATAGTACAAGAACTTCAAGGTGGAATATCACTGGGAATTGGATATAGCAGTAGTGCTATGAATTGGCCCATAGTTTTTCTGTGCCCCTTTTCTCCTGTGGAAATTTTCCTAGGGATTTTATAGCAATTTGGTTTTGTCTTGTGAAATATTAGGCAGATAAATACTGCAGAAGTTAAGTGGCCAGATATTGTGATGAAAAATGAGTAGATAAATATAAGTAAGGGTAACCTCCAGATAATATATTTCATTATGACAGATAATGGATTTTTAAAAAACTAATTAATTTGTTATGATGTTACAAAAAAGTTTGAATCCCTTGCTCAGGAAAATGACGTGATGTGTTTTTGTAGCATTTTCTGTCTCATAAATGGAAAATTCCAAGACCTATCACAGAAATACATTTGTAATATAATCATAGAATCACAGAATGGTTTGGGTTGGAAGGAAACCTAAAAATCATCTCGTTCCACCCCCTAGTGGGCAGGGACACTTTCCACTAGCCCAGGTTTCTCCAAGCCCTGTCCAACCTGGCCTTGGACACTTCCAGGGATGGGGCAGCCACAACTTCTCTTGGCAACTTGTGCCAGGGCCTCCCCACCCTCACAGCCAAGAATTCCTTCCCACAATCCTGTCTAACCCTGCCCTCTGGCACTGGGAAGCCATTCCCCCTTGTCCTGTCCCTCCAACCCTTGTCCCCAGCCCCTCTCCAGCTCTCCTGGAGCCCCTTTAGGCCCTGCCAGGGGCTCTCAGCTCTCCCTGGATCCTTCTCTTCTCCAGGGGAACCCCCCCAGCTCTCCCAGCCTGGCTCCAGAGCAGAGGGGCTCCAGCCCTGGCAGCATCTCCAGGGCCTCCTCTGGACTCTCTCCAGCAGCTCCATGTCCTCCCTGTGCTGTTCCCCAGGGCTGGAGCAGCTCTGCAGGGGGGTCTCAGCTGAGGGGGCAGAGGGGCAGAATCCCCCCTGCCCTGCTGCCCACACTATGGGATCAGCCCAGGGCACGGGGGGTTCTGGGTGCCAGCTGGGACACACTGAGCTTCTTGTCAACCCATGTGTTACTACACTGAGCTTTTACACTGCACTTCTCAAAAAGAGGAAAGTTTGTTATAAAATGTCATTGTTCTTGTTTTGTTTGTTCTAGTGTTACGAACATTAAATACTGGGGAAGATGTGAGCCCATGATTTCAAGAACTCTTCAGTTTCCAAATGACCTTTCTGTTGGATATCCTTTTTATTGGATATGGCACAACATGTTATTTGAAAATAATAAGGTAAAAATTAATATGAGACTTCTGTGGTTTTATATGCCACATTTTTAAACCAATTAGGAGATTAATATTGATTAATTTTGGTTTATTTTTTCTATGCATAGTTTTTAAAAGGTGTGCTTATTTCTACCTACTTTTACCAACAAAAGACAAATCATATAACTAGTTGCTTATGGTCATCTGTCCCAGTCCTAATCTTCTTGAAGTCAATACCGTTGATGAGTTCAACAATATTGAGAACGGGACTGATTCTGTTGGCAGCTGAGAAGAGGATTGGTTCTACTTGGAGGTTGAGTCAACTAAGGTATGAAGCATAAGCTGGATTTCAAACAAAAGCCTTTTGACATGTTTTGTTGTCTGATTCCAAGTTCCTCACTGTGTCAGTGTTATCATTACTGTTATCATTACTGCTGATAAACCAACCTGACCTTTGCATGTGGATTTTTGTCTGGGTTCAAGTATTTTTGTAATATTCTTACCCAGTCATGGATGCTAACTTGCTATCTATTTGCAAACCTTTTGTGTCTTATTCTAATTAATATTCACTTACCATGAGTTGGAGAAGAATGTTTGCTCTTTGAATTTTCAATCAATCGAGCAAGAAGATTGAAAAAAACCCAGTCTAGCAGTGGTGTTCAATGTGACACAATATTTAAAGGTATATGACAGATAATAAACCACCAGGGTGTATGAACTCATTCAACATTGCAATCCTTAGCTGTTTTAAAATAAAACTGACTTTTCAGTAATTTTCTAGAGGAGGTTGTTACACAAGCACAGGGGAACACACCTGGAATATGACAAGTGGTATCATTTTGTTTATCCATAGAACTCTAATCATGTAAGAATAATATATTTCCTTGGGTTGAAAGATGAGTGTGGGTTTTCACATTCCACAAGTGAATTTTATTTAATGAAAACCATACAAGGTGTACTTGTGTATGTTTACTTCAAATACCATTAAGCAGCTCACTTGATAGTTTAAATATGCATGTGTTTATGTTCTCATGGCATCACAGAAATGAGACTGGGAAGGAGATGAAAATGAAACATTACAAAGGAATTTGACAAAAACAGAAGGGGAGACATTTATTTCATTAACAAGATTTATGAAGGAACTAATGAGCTGTCTCCTACTTTCTACCAGAAACTTATTGCTTCACTAGGGTTCAAAACACTTTCAGAATCCCCATGAGTGCACCTAAACTGGGAGGGCTTGGTTGTTTCTGTGTGTTTGCTGACAGGATCAGCCTTGTGTTGCTCCTAAAGCCAGCAAGCATTCAGCATTTCATGTTGTCTTCTGGAGGCTTGCAAAGGCATGTATTCCTGTGGGAGCTCTCCAGAAGTAGGGTCAGGATAAACTATTGGTGCAAATAATACTTTCCAAGGCTGAAATGTCTGGATAGTTTCAGTGTTCCGATTACTTAAATTATATTTGCAGTAAATGAGTTTCTGCTCATGAAATAGATGTAATAATATCAGGACCTAGAAAGGATGAAAAAGTAGATATTTAATAACCTGAGTTCTCTTGAAGAGTAGCATTGTGGGGTTTTTCTTTGCAGAAACTGGCTAACTACTGACAGAGTGGTTTTAGACCCTTCTGCATACTCAGGATGTAAAGCAGCACTGCCCTCATAAATGCACATCTTTAACAGCAATTTGAAGTGTTGAAAGACTAGCAAAAAGAGAGATTAGCTAAAAACATAAATACCCCAAATGTATTCAATTACTTTCAATGACAGTGATTCAAACAGGAGCTCTGAGAACGGTGACTTTGCTGCATAGAGGGGTGGGGTTGTGCCAAGGCAGCTTTAATGCTGCTTCACTTCACCGTGATCTTGTATTAGTTAAGTTTAAAATTGTGTTCCCTGGCAAACCATAAAAGATTTCAAAAGTATTAGACACCCACTTTTGTGCTGGAATTTAATATGCAACTTTTTATTGGAAAATAATCGTTCTTGTCTGGCGAAATCCACCATGCAATATTTCTGTTAGTAGGCATAATGCAATAAAGACAGGGAGGGCTATTTATCACTACAAATTTTGAGGATTTCAGGATTCTTTTTATTATTTTAATATATTTCTTTGGTATTAAATCAGAAAAATGATAAATTACACCTGTCGAGGCGGTTTTTCCTTTTTCCCAGAAAATGATGTACAACCTAATTTCACTGGTCATTTTGGCTTTTAAAGATATGTATTTTTTTCCTATTAAAAACTCTACCAATAGGGGTTTTTTTTAATAATAATACTGAAGTACTTTTTATTTCAAACATATGAAGTAGTTTATAACTACTTCCTGGCATTGCAAACTTTGGCCTTTTCACATTATATTAGGATTTTTTTAAAAGGCATTAAGTATATATTGCTTTGAAAGAAATAGAGTATTGTTAAGAAGCTAGATCCAGTGGATCAATTTTCAGTATTTGAAATAGATTAAATTGTGGCTAGCCTGAAAGGTTACAACAATAATTTATTTCATTTCAGTACTTTCCTGTACATAATCAGCTTTTACACAGTCTTAGAAATCAGTATTTTTCTTTTTTTAAGTGTATAATCATCTTTTTCTAAAGGATAATGTAGAATTAAAAGCAAAACATAATTTCAGCAACTGCAATATATAACAGGAAAAAAAGAAGAAAAACCATAAGAAGGTATCAACAACAAATGATTGGGGCTGGTGTCATGGTTTACATTGCTTTCACAATTATTCCAGGTTTGCATATTTCGAAATGTATTAGTCCAATCTGATTTCAAAGCTCAGTTATTTGAATTATAAATCATTATGTCCCTCCTAGCTGATCAGTTGTGAAATATCTTTGAATTCATTTGCATAATGGAATATGTTAGTCGTTCCTTTATGTCTGTGAAGCCACAGTGCTCCCTCATACATGTTTAGTTCTTTCTACTAATTAACTTTTCCTCTGTATATTTTTGTAGCTAAATAAATACAGTTTCATTATTATTTTGTACAGTAACTTGGGATAAAATACTTTTAGTCTCTCAAACATTCTTAATCCTTGTCTTTGTTAGCCTTGTGTTACAAAAGGCTCTGCCTTGTAACAGGGCAGGGAGCCAACTCTGTAGCTTTGCAATATAAAACCAGGTAATGCCATGTCGGATGTTATGGATTGACAAGAGAAACAACTCTCAAAAGTTGATTAGGAGATTTTCCAATAGAAGGCAGCTATAAAATCTGCTCTTACAATTTTACCTGTTTAAAAAGAATTTAATCTACTTAAAATGAAAAGGGAAATTGTTTATTCCCATAAAAGTTATTGAACTCTAGTCAGTGATGTGCAGGAATGGCAGAGTGAAGCAAGCACTCAGAAAAAACCCCCAGTAACAATGGTAAGTATTGTGGGTATTTGTGAAGTCTCTGTGTGTACAGGACTGCAGGAACACATCCTGGGTGTTGCTTATGAGCTCATCAGTGCCAGCAACATTGCTCACTGAACTACTGAGTCCTGTGTTTGTAGTATTCATTGTAGAATATACAAGCCCGTAAGTAGTTTCTTCATTTGGTGCCTTCCATGCTTAGGAATATTTCTGAAGTTTTGAAGTTTGAGTTTTTCTATGGCATTTCTGAGAAAGTGCACTGATGTACTGGGATATTGCAAAACCTTTTATATCCCCATTTTAGAGATGCAGAACTGAGACAGTGGAATTTAACTGAGTTTCTGTAAGTCATACAGGGATTTCATGTCAAATGAAGGAGAAGCAGGAGTCAGAAAATCCCAGCCATTGTTTTGGCCACTCTCGTGCTCCTGTTTTGCAAACGTGGCTCGCAACAGTTGCTGCTTCAGTGCAGAAACTCTCAAAGGTGCCAGCATGGCTCTTTTTGCAAGACACAGGATTATCGCCTGTATCCAGCCCCAGATGCTTGAATCATCTGAGACAGGGAATGTGTGTGTGTGTACTCATGCTGTTAAGAGATGTCATAATTCACAGAGCTAGGAAAGGATTTGAATTGTAGGAACAGGTCTGAACCATCTGATTTAAGGGCTTCTATAACAGAGTTTTTGCGAACTCAACTTTTTATTTAATATGATTTCTTGTGCTTTTAAAAAGAAACCTTAAGAAAAATATTATTTTGTCATATGTAAGTACCTAGAAGATGTGATCTGCAGAATTACTGCAGTCCAGGAGATACACTGCTCCTGCATCAGTGTGCAGCTCCCTGGGTCCTTGGTATCCAGGCAGGTGCAGACACACTGGAGCTCATCTTGCTCGACCAGGGCCAGGAGCTTTGACCAGGGGTCAGGTGCCTTGGCTGATCAATGTACAGAGTACCCAGCAGCCCTTCCCCAGGGCCCGTGGGTAGCAGTGTGGTGGCTGAGGCCAGGTGAGGCTGCAGTTACCTGGGCTGTCACCAGTTAGCCAGCTGTGCAGTGGAAGATTTCAGTTCATGCGTAGCAGGAGTCAGTTAATTTGCTTTCTGCTTTATCAAGTTTGAGAAACTGGAGTTTCCGTGGAAATGCTCATTGATACATCCAAAATTCTCAGCTGTACCCTCTTGGTATGGACTTTGCTATGGCTCTGAGACTGTATGCTTGTAGGAGATTTCCATTCAGATCTTACATGTCTGAAAATACTTTCAAAGAATCATAGAATTGTTAGGGTTGGAAGGCACCTCTGGAGATCCAACTCTCCTGCTGAGGCCGGGTCACCTGGAGCAAGTGTCATAGGAGCATGTCCAGGTGGGTTTGGAATGTCTCCAGAGAGAAGACTCCATGATCTCCCTGAACAAGCCTGTTCCAGTGCTCTGCCACCCTCAATGTAAATAAGTTCTTCCTCACATTGAGATGAAACTTCTTGTGTTTTAGTTTATGGCTGTTGTTCCTCGCCCTGTCTCTGGGCACCACTGAAGAGTCTGGCACCATTCTCTGACACCCACCTTGTAGATATTTATATGCATTGATGAGATCCCCTCTGTCTTCTTTTCTCCACACTTAACAGGCCCAGCTCCTGCAGTCTATCCCCATCATAGAGATGCTCCAGACCCCTCCATTATCTTGGCCTCCTCTGGATGCTCTCCAGGAGCTCCGTGTCTCTCTTGTCTTGAGGAGCCCAGAACTGGAGGCAGCACTGCAGATGTGCCTCCCCTGAACACAGAGGCAGGATCCCCTCCCTGACCTGCTGCCAATGCTCTTCCTGGTACCCCCAGGATCCCATCGGCCCTCCTGGCCACAAGAGCACACTGCCAGCTCACAATCAACCTGTCATCCACCAAGACCCCCAGGTCCTTCTTCTCAGAGCCGCTCTCTAGTAGGTCAGTCCCCAACCTGTACTGCTACCTGGGGTTGTTCCTCTCCAGCTGCAGGACCTGCACCTGCCCTTGTGTATTCATGCTTAATTGGGTGCTGTTACTTTTCAGTCTGTGTTTGGCCCAGCCACCTGTGAGAGTCTGTTCTTTTCCTGCCAAGTTATGTGAAAACAAGCACCGAAAAACGAGAACATCGTCCTTGAAGGAAGGATCTTGTATAAACTGAAGTTAATTGGGGCCTCACTGTTGGCTGACGGCCCTCCAAGGACACTTGAAGGAGAAAGTGAAGAGGAGGAGGATGAAGTAATCCCCCAGACTCATTTAGGCCCCGAGGCATAGCATGAGGGCACAGAGACATTCCAGAGTACCCACGTGTGCACAGAAGAGGCACCACTTACATCACGGGGGGAGGGACTGGCTGGGCGGTGCTGGCCACACCTGCCCAGGTAGACATCACAGGTTAATTGTATAAAAAGCAGAGAGCTCTTGCTGGGAGCAAACTCAGGCTTCACGTGGAGGACAACGATGCCTTGGCAGGAACGCCTGTTACCATGTGAGCTGCTGATGCACTGGGGATGCAGCTTCTGCTATGGGGAATTCTAAGCATGCTGGGGTCGGTAAGACAACCTCATAAGTAACACCTGAGTGAGTGGGGGGTTACCCTGGGGGCTTGTTTCCCTTCTCTTTCCTGTCTCTTGGTTTCTTGTTTTGTTGGTTACTTGTTTGTAATAAATATTGTTTTGTTGAACTTTCAACAGTGTAGTGGTTTCCGTTCGACTGTCTCCCTGTTACACCTTGTTGAACCTCATTAGGTTTCTCTCTGCCCAATTCTCCAGCCTATCAAGGTCCCACTGAAAGGCAGCACAGCCTTCAGGTGCATCAGCCTCTCCCCCAGTTTTGTATCATCACCGAACTTGCTGAGAGGCCATTCTATCCCTCCATCCAGGTCCTTGATAGACAAGCTGAATAAGGCTGGGCCCGGTATTGCTCCCTGGGGAACCCCACTGACTGCAGGCCTCCAACCAGACTCTGCTCTGCTGATCCCAAGCCTCTGAGTTCTGCCATTCAGCCAGTTCTTGATCCACCCCACTGTCCATTCATCCAACCCACATTTCCTGAGCTTACCTGTGAAGATGTTATGGGAGGCAGTGTCAAAAGCCTTGCTGACTTGAGGAAGACAACATCCACTGCTCTATCTTAACTTTGGTTAAGTGTTTAGCATAGCTTAGTATGCATGAGATGTATTTTTATCTGTTGTAACTGAAACAAATTGTGGTTTTTGATGGGTCTGGAGGATCACCCGTGTGACTTTGAGGCTGTTACCTCAGGGCTGCAGCAGTGCCATTGCCAAGTACCAATCAGCTCCAACGCAGGCACTTGCAAAACCACTTTTTTTATGTGCTGATGACATGGATCTGTCTGAGGAACAAACACCATTTATTATCCAAAACTTTCTGTGTATTTGTAAAAGTCATTTAGTTCATTTGTCTCTTCTGTGATTAGAACATATGCTGTGAAAAGTAATTCCTTTCATTAATAACAGATTATAGTCTAAAATGTTCTAAAGAATATCTGTATTACATATATTTGTGGATGAACTTCAAATATTATTTTAATGTACTGTTTCAGGATTTTTTTTCTCCCTAAAAGTTCCTGAAAGTTTTCCCAGCCTGCCTGTGTAATTATAATGCTGCAAGGCTGCTTTTCCTTAACACCTGCTATGTACAGTCTCCTGAAAAAGCTTGTGAAAATAGACAGTGAAATCTATGCTTCAGAATCACACAGTAAGTTTTCTTACTATGTTAAAAAGTGTGTGTAGTAAATTTTGTAGAACACTTAACTTTTCCTACACTCATTTTTTGACAGAGGAAGCACTTCCCTTTCCTGGATGTCAGTGAGGATTTGAGCCTCAGTGGCCCGAGGTGCTGGACAGTGTTCCACACTGGCTCACTCAGCTTCTCCTGGGCTTAGGTAAGGTCATCTCCCTTGTCCCTGAGGTACCTCACTGCCTTGTGTAGTGCTGTGAATTTTTAGGGTTATTAAACCAATCAAACAGCAGTTTATTTGTACAGTAAATATGTTACAGTTGGTATTTAAATCACTGCCTATTGACTCCTGAGATTTATGGCATTGAGCAGCAACACTGTATTTGGTGCCTTCTGTTTGAAGAAATAAGCATCATGAGTTTATTTTTTGTATTGTCTTAAAAGTTTACAATATGAAGTGCCTGAGTGTTTTGCATTTCCAGGTGACATACTGACCAGGCCAGAACCTCCCAGCTTCTGCCAGAAGGTTTTTTATTTCACTTCTCTGTGCAAGTTCCCAATACACAAAGATCTTCAGAGTTTTAATAAGCATTGACAAGAGTTTGGCAGTACAGGGAGCAGCACTTAAACTTGCACTTGGGGTTACCTTTTGAGTTGTCCTTTGCGAATGAGAGAGGTTAGCAGGTGTAAAAACAGTGCATGCTTTAGTAGCTGGATGTGATGAACTTAGTCCAGGCACTGCCCTTGGTCCCCAGAGCTTTGCCTGCCTGGTTAGAGCTCTGTTGTCCAAACAGAGAAGGCTGGGCTTGGCAAAATGAGCACCCAGACAAATCCTGTCTTAAAGAAGCTGATAGTCAAGACAGTCATAAGCCAGCAGTGATTGTTCCTGCTCTTGCTGATCATGAGTGCCTGTCCCATCTACTGCTGAACCCTGCTGGAAACAGGGAATTCCAAGGCAAAATGGAGCCACATTGGTCAGTGTTTCCCTAAAGAATGCACCTGTGAGCGGGACCTGGGTTTCCTTGCAGCTAAACTGCTTTCAGTACTGGCTCAGATCTGTATAACATAGGCATATTTATAATATAAAATGGGCTGTGCATGCAGGTTCAGTAATTTTTCCTACAGGGGAAAAAGAGATTTGGTAAAAACAACATCACAGGTGTTAAAAATTACTTCTCAAAGTAGAAGCTGGATAAATGGGTGACAGACAAAATGCAGACTGGCTATAAGCTGACAAAGGCCATTGTGATTCCTCTGGATTAACAGCTCCACAAGATCTGGAAAAAGCATACATCAGTCCTGTGGCTGTTGTCCTTCGTGTTCCTACTGGAGTAAATGTGTTTGGGTTTAAACTGACAGAAAAGCACAGCTAGAGATACAAACAGGTAGAAGTTGTGTTTTAGAATCCAAATTTTAAAAATAAGGTGTACACAAACTGTCCTTTCTGTGTGCTTGTGCAAGCATTAAATCACAGTGTTCTTACCTTGTGATTCAAAAGGTACTTTCAAACCATGAAAACTGGCATTTTTAGACAGAAAAGCATTGTACTAATTGTCTTCTCTAGGCTTTCTATGTGGGTTGTTTTTGGGTTTTTTTTCAAATTAAATGAAGAGATTTATATAAAATCCTTTTATATGAATGATAAATAATTTACATGGAAACAAAACTAAGATTAATTTTTATTGGTGGGGGTTGTTTTAAGTAATTATGCAGAAGCATTTTTGGAGATTAGTTGAATACAGTAAATTGAGAATATTTCCATTTTAAGTTAGGTGCTGTCAGTGTGACTGGCAAAATTTTATTTTAGTGAGAAAGAATGGTAATATCTGGATGCCACATCCATGGAAGTGGCCATGGCCATTTTGGGTGGGCCTTGGAGCAACTTGGTCTGGTCGTGATCGTATGATTCTATGATATTGATATTTGCTTCAAAATGCACTTTGATTTGTGTTGAGTTACTTAAACCTCATATGAATATAATAAGAATTTGAATTCCTTGTGTGTCCCAGGTTGTGTTTTGAATATTTTTGTGGCATTTAGAATTGCATAATTTTGTCCAAGATCCTTAGTCCAAGATGTTTTGTGTGAAGTGTACAAAAAAAAACCTAATAGAACAACATTGGTAAATTTATGTTTAAATAATTAATAAATTTTAGTCACCTTTTTTCTCTACACTACCAAAAGAAGTAGATGTAAACTGTAGGAAATACCTCCAGGAGCTTACAAGCTTACAGCAATTTACCATGGGAGGTTTGTTTAGGATAGTTTCTTCCTTTCCTTACTAATACTGTGCTGTTCAGGTGATGTGATGTGGCTTGTTCAGGAGTGAAAAAGAAATGTATAGGCAGTAATTTGTGTTAGTTTTCTAAAACTTCCACATTATTTTATTAATAGGACAATACTATAGAGGATCCTAATTGTATATTCTTTCTCCCCTACCTACACTGAAATTTAAAACAGACCTAGCACATTAAACTTTCCCTTACCCAATTCCCAAAACTAGCTGGTTTGGCATTAAAGTGTTGGTCACAATCAGCATTGGACATGCTGGTAGTTCTTTGGTTTTCTCAGCTGTTTGATAAAGTATGGTTGAGATTCTGCCTTGGGAAGGAATAATCTTGAATTTGGATGTGGACACCTTCTTCCAAAGGTATACAGCACTCTAGAAGAGGTGGAGTGTGACTTTTCCTGTCCTGGGACAGTTCATGTTTCTCCTGAGAACTCTGTAAATGGCATCTAAGCCCTGGTCCCGCACAGGGCAGGATCCAGATGGCTCCTGTTAGTCTGTACTCTGGCACAGGACAATGCCACCATGGGACTCTTTCTAAATGATTGGGCCTTATTTTTTTTTTTTTCTCTGAGGAAAATCTGGTAAGCAATTAAAGGGAGAAAAGCATCAGGAAATGCAATGCACATAGAAACAGGAGTGTAAGAGGAAGCTGATGCTGATTGAGCAGAGATGGGGAGCACAGAAACTAATGGTATATTGGAACTGCTTGAGGAGCTGGATTGGCAAAGGGAGGAGATGGAAACAAAAAGCTGGACTGGAAGAAGACACAAGGATCCAGAATGCCAAATAAAAATACTGACTCCAGTTGAAAGGAGCAGAGGAAACAGGCAAAGATGGAAAGGAATGGATTTCCCAAGTCCACCAGACCCTTTGCTGCTCCTCAGTAGCTTTGAAATCCAGCACAAATCCCCTCACCCTCTTGGGTTTGCTGCAGGTGCAGGTCACAGATTTGGGCAGATCCTTCACTAGTTTAAGAAAGCTCTTGGGCATAGATGGCACTTTGAAGGCTCTGTGGCTGAGGTGACAGTGCAGCAGCAAGAAGTTACTGTGAATGTATTTCCTTTGCTTTTAAAAAAATCTAGAAAGCCCTTTATTAGAGGGGAGCAGTTCAGGTCACAGAGCCAGGTATTCAGGACTGAGGAAATGCCAGAGTTGGGACTGTCACTGCAACTGTCCTCTCCATTGTAAATATTGACATTGTTACGAGGCAGTTTTAATTGCAGGATCACAATTATATCTCTCAGAGGATGTTTGACTCTTTCAGTTCAGAAGATGTGTCATTCCAGCTTCATGAAAAGCCACTGAGTATTTTGATTTTTTTTTTCTGTGTTATTGCCTGGCTTTGTCAGTCCCCTCTTTGCTTTCTGTCGTGACTGTTTGTTCTTCTTGGCATTTTTTCTTCTTGGCTTTTTCTGTCATTCTTACTTTCCACTGGTGACTGGGTGACTGGTTTGGTCTGAGCAGCATCCCTAAAAATAAGGGGCTGGAATTAGATCTGTTCTAAGTGTGGAAATCAAACTGTGAAGCTTACACCAACTTTGCACAACCAGTTTAACACACAAAAGCTTCCTCCTAACCTCACTTGCAACTTAGTTTCCCAGACTTTGCCGATGAAGAGAGGAGGGAAAGAAGCCCTATAGCAAAGAGCTCTTTAAAGAACATAAATTAAATTCCTACTCTGAATTAGTCTCACGGGGAATCAGCCTGTGAGAGGCAGGCTGCCCTCATTAGGGCCTAAAGATAAGTAGTGTGAGGAGGGATCCTCATGCAAATTGCCATTTCTAAAGAGTCGTTGTTCATGGTTACTGATTCAGTTTCATGACAAAGCACAATCAATCCAGACTTCTAGGATATCTTTCAGCTGTCTAACAAACAAGATCTCTTTTTCCCTACTCACTCTTTTTTCTTTTATCCTAAATTCACACCTTCTGAAACAAATGAGGCAAGTGTCATATGAATGACCCCAGCACAGTCTGGATTCATTTCCAGGGCAGCTTCATTGTGTACACCAGATAGGTAAGAGGCAGGAAAAATAGCATATGAGCATAAAAGATTGTGATTTAAATATCATACTCAAACTACACATGTGTAAAAGCCTAATTTATTATTGTAGTTTTAAATTTACCATTTTCTAACTGTTGAGTCTTGACTTTCCTACGTGAATGTTCTTATAGGGCAGTGAATAAATGTTGTCAGGTTAACAGCAGAAACAGAAATATGGAAAGGAGAAAGGTGTGAAATGCGGAGACAAGCAAGTCTCAGACACAAGTTGTTTGGAATCAACAATTTGTGTTCTTTGTTTATAGCTCAGTAAAAATACATTATACCTCAGGTTTTTGTTCCTGTAGGTCACCTGCAGTTCCTGGGATGTCAGTGAGATCTCTCTGTGGAAGCCTCGGAGCCTGACCCTTCTGAAGAAGTGCGAAGATGATGTGTGTGATGCTTTTGCTGGTTTCTTCTGGTTTCTTTTCCTGTAGGTGAAGATGGGTATGAGTTTGAGAACTTCATGCTCCCCCTCTAAGTTTCATTTGAAAGTGTGATTCAGATACTCAACAGTAGTGTTGAACAAAAAAAAGCAAAAGGTAGGGTTTTTTTCAAGTATAGGGGAAGAAATTATTGATGGGAAAAAATAATAGTGAGGCAAGGATTCAGCAACAAGTCTGGCAGCTTTTCTATCAGTCTCCCTTGACTGTACATACCTGTATACTTATATACATATGGATTTATATACATATATACCTGTGTACATGTATCTAATTAGGAATGTAGACAGTAGAGATACAAGGGCTATGAATACTATTCTAAATAAACTTTGTACAAAGATTTTATAAGGACCTTGAGATTTTCCAGTGCTTTGCAGATCAAATGACCCCATTTGAAGCTCATTTATTATCAAAGGGACAAATTTTTCTTCAGTGATAGCTTATCTGTTCCATATCTAATATCCCCTTTGCCACGCAAGTATCCTGTTTGTGTATATTAACATATTTATTTGGGGGTATGAGAAGGCATGTAACAGAACTGATAAAACACTACTGCTTTAAAGTATTTTTTTTTTCAAACAAGAATTTATTATATAAATCAAGACTTTATTAAATGGCTGGGCATATATGTATAAATAGGAACGGGTCTTGAAGTATGGCACCCTTAAACTGAACAAAGTGATTAGGATAACTGATAGCTAAATAAGGTTTTTATGTGCCTGTGGGAGCCATATTAGGATTGATTTGACAAGGCAGTTCAGCTGTGGCAACAGTCATAACATCTAACACAACATTATGTTTTATTAGTAAAATCCTTAAGTGTAGCAAGCTGTTTGTGTCAAAACAACAGTATATTTTAGGGAAGAAAAAGACTTACTAGATAGAAGCTGCATCATCAGGAATGATAATGTATTAGAGCACTATTGCATTAAAGAGATCCCCTTCTGCCACCACTGAATCAGTAGTTAACAGTGCTCACTGGAGTGCTCACTTCAGCTACACGGGGTCGTCTTGAGGAAACCCTAACAGTAATTTTTAATTTGCTGTTTTAAAATATAATGGCAATACTACATCATCAAATTTATCCATTTTTTTCACAAGGAAATAAACAGATATGCTCAAAGTATTTGGCAAATAATTTGACTGCAGTACATCACTGACATTACTCAAAGATGCACATTTCAGAGTCATCACTTGAATTAAGCTAATATTTTTCTTAAAATAGTACTAAGGGTTATTTCAATAATTATTTACTTTTGGTTTCCTTCTTTGTTGTTGCTTTATGTGTTTAATAGTAATCACTTTTTATTTATAAAATAGGCTCGGTTCATCTATCTTCAATCCATCTCTCATGTGTTCAAGTTATAAATCCTAAGAATTAGAACAGAGAGGTCATTTGGTAGCATTACCCTTTCTGGAGGAAACTGGATTCCTCTCTGTGTGAGGATTCAATTTATTAAAATAATTTTACCATTGCCTTGTCTGGATTGCTTGAAACTTTCTTAGCAGAGAAATTTTAATGGAGTGCCAGTGATATATTCCTAAACTAGCAAGTTCTTAACGACCCTGGAAAGTGACTGCTTGATTACACTTTAACGGTATTTGCAAATAAAATCACAAGTAATTAAGGGGAAATCTCCAGGCTTTTGAGCAAGTTTGATGCATGATAACTGCCTGATTCAGCTTCATCTAGAGTAATGCTGTGTAGACAAGAGCTACTGAGATCAATAGCAACATAATGATAGTGGCAGAATTAAGTGAGTAACCTGAGAACTGTGTCTTCAAAATGCATGCAGCTGCCACCAGCCAGGGCCACACAGTGCACTCCTGCTTCCGTCCTAAATGTTCATCAAAAGACGCCCTGCAGGAAAATGGAGTTAGATGCTCTTTATTGCTGATCGTGTCTCTTGCCACATTTATCAGGGAAATTGGATTAGCAGTTGGCAGCTGCAGGTAGACAAGGTTCTGCAGTGATTAAATATGCAGCTTGGCTGCATTTGTTGTGACAGACCTTTAGTAAATTCTACTGTAAGCACCATCTGTCTAATTTGTATAAAGAAAACTTGGTGCTTTAAGCTACTGATAAAGAACTAAATCTGTTGCTTTATCATAAACAAAACTTTTGCTCTAAATTACCTTAAACACAATTTATTAGGTTAAAGCTATTTTTCTATCATAATGAATAAATAATACATGCAAAAATGCTTTCAGGTACTTCATTTTCCACGTACTGAAAAACAAAAACAGTTCAGTTCTTCAATAAAATGCTTAGTATTACAATCCATGGGGAGATGACACTGTTAAAATATCGCTACGAAAATGGTCCAGGACTGCCAAACTCATTTAATTTGTGGATTTTACTAGGACTTTCTTACTGGGTAGGTGGTTTTTTAGGTTTTTAATATTTCTGAAATACACCACTGAAAAACAACTGTAACAAGGGAACTCTTTCTTTTTAAAATATATCTGTAATCATTACATCTGCATACAAAGCATATATTTAGGTTTCTTTTCCAGAGAGTTCGAATGTAATTGAGGATGGCTGAAGTAATTATGTGTGTATGTGTGTTGCTTTCCTCTTTTCTTATTATTCCTTTTTTTTTTTTTTCTGCTACTTCCTTCTTCACATTTTTGTATTAATAGAAAGAATTTCCAGTAGTAAAACAATGCCTAATTCTCTCCTAAGAATATCCAGGTTTCTCTTGACAATGTGGTTAAGCAATCTATTGCCTGGGCAGCTGGAATCTCAGTAGTACTTTGTTTATAGTTGTGACATCATCAGATTTGCTAGAAATGCCTGGGAAAAGGATCTGAAGAAAAAGCAGTTAAATAGCAACTTGCTATCTTTAGCTGGTTTGTAGAAACTCCATGCTGTTAAATTATTTAAAATCCTTGATTTTCAGCTTGCACACATTAAAAGTTTTCACACTAAGTGCCAAATGTTGCAAACAGCACTTTAACAGAATGATTTTGCTTTGATCCCTGTAGCAGTTCCTGAATAATTTATCACAGGTTATTGCCTTAATTCTGGAGAGGGATAGAGCAATAAAGGCAGATGAAAACACTCCAGTTGAAACACCTTGGGGCCTGCTCATTCCTCTGACACGGCTCTTTTGTTGGAACTATTTAGAGGTTATTAAGATGTGTCTCCAGAATTAAGAGTATGCTGTAAGGATGAAGACAGCCATCTTAATTCTAAAGACAAAGCACAATGACCCTTCACCTTTTTTTTCCTTTGTTGTTATTATATAGTAGAATTATGAGGGTAATATTATAGCTGCACCCAGTAGTGCCACTATGGTTAAGGGTCTGTCAGACTTTCCATTACGAGCCCCATTTTGGGGGTGGGGGGCGTGAGGAGGCTCCTCTGTTTTAGATTGTGTTAGTCAGACACTTGGCACATGTTGGCAAATTATAGGGGATTTTCTGTAGATATTTAAATCTTCAGCTCCTTTCCTTTGAAAAAATCCATTGAAAAATGTTATTCTGGACTTTGAAACAAAATACTTCAATTTATTTTTAAAAGGGCTTTGTTATAATTAAATCTTAAGTAAACCTATCACTGACATTCAGGGAAGGATATTTCAAAAATTAAATCTGAACAAAATTCCTTCATTATCAAGAAAAGTAGTGTATAAACCCCCATGCTCCTAACAAGCTTCTCTTGCTGTTTTTCTTGTATTTACTGTTCTTCACTTCTCATCTCACTCATTTGGCTGTTGCTGGTTGTGCCATTCCCTGTCCCGTTGCCCCAGGAAGGGCTGGGGGGCAGCTGGGAAGGACACAGTAGCTTCTTGTATTCTTCACTTTGCTGGTGAGTCTGCAAGGCACTCCAGATGCCACAGGATGACACACAAAAAGTAGATGTATAAGTGTATAATGTTGTTTGTCATTAATAAATTTTATGCACATAAGTGCTATTTGATTATTCTTAGTGGACTAAAACTAGATTGTCTTAGGGTTTTAGGGGGAAGGTTCTTGCTAACTGTGACCTAAGCAAGCATGGAATCTAGGGTGATTTTTGCTTCTATTAGAGTTTAAAGATATTTTTACCGGTGATTTAAATGGATCAGGACTTGTTCAGGATTCTAGAGGCTATTCAATAGGCTATTTGTCTGGCACCGACTGTGGCAGTGTTATTTTACACAGTTGAGGTCTGATGGATCCCATCTAAACCACTGGTTTGCTGGGGTTTTACAGGACAAGAATATTATGGTGCCTTGTAAATTGAGGTAATTTATTAAGAATAGTGTGGGTTAAGAATGGTATGGGCTTTTTAATAACAGCGTCTGAATTTAAGTAGTAGAAAACCAAGAAATGTAGTTTATATAGTAGCTGGTCGCCTTTCTTTAGAGTTTGAGGTCCAATGGTGTCTGAAGTTGCCTGGTGTTTTTGTAGCTTCTCAGAAATCTGGGGCCAGAGTTTAAAGGAAGTTGCACATATACTTTTATTAATAGTTTTTAAAGTCTCACAACCAAACTGTTCCTTTTTCACTCTTATTTGCAAAAGTGTTTTCTTGCAACTAGTTTTTTTTATAAAGATAGAATAAGCGTGTTGGAGGAATATGGATTGGGTTGTCCTTTTCTAATCCACATTCTAAGCCACACTAGGATGGGGAGCTCTTTCTCCCTGAGCACATGCTCAAGCAAAGGCAAGTCCATGTCTTGCCAGGGGCTGTAGCTCCCCTTCTCCCAGCTCCAGACCTCCTCTGTCCAACCTTGCTTATCTCCTTTTTTGTGGCTGGAATGAGCAAAGGAACCAAAATCAGTCTGGAATATTTCCACTCCCTTGTATCTATTGCTGCATCTCTCCCATGAGAGAGAAGTATCAAGTGTTGCTTCTGAGTTCTTTTAATTCTTTATGTTTTGGCCACCTTGTCTGCTAAAGTTATTTTCTGTGTGGACAAAGCAGCACACCCACCAAGTATGAAAATACAGATGAGTATGAAGTTACAATTTTATATTGCATCTTCTCAGTATTGAACACTTCCTCTCTAGTGATTTCAGAGTCCCATTAAAGTTAATGAGAGTTGAGACCTCTGAGCATCTTTGCAAGTTCAGGCCATTTCAATGCACAACAGAAAGGAAATGCAAATATTA